AAAATCCAGGACGGCAGACAGGTGGACAGACAGACAGACGGAGAGACATACAGACGGACAGACAGCCAGACGGAAACGGGAAACGGGAAACCTAAGTAAAGTGTCGGTCGGCGGCCTCGACTACGATTATTATGATTTTACTTTAAACGTATTGAAGTTTAATTTTTCGTTCAAAAGTATAATGCTTTGATAGTTAGCGTAGTTTGATGTATTTTTATTTTTACCTAATTCCCGAGCTTAAGCAAATAGACTCGGGTGGGGTTAAAGAAAATAGTGCAAATTTTCTGGAAAAGCAAACATTTGTAGTTTTAAATCGATTACGAAAAAAGTGACCTTACTTGCACATGAAACTTAAGCTTATTTTCGGCCTAAATAGATCGAAAAAAGTAGTTATAGAAATGACCGTGTTTTTTCGTTAACACTTACCACCTGACAAACACTTTTAGAGAAAATGATTTTAGAGTCAAAATATGGAGTATAGAAAAAAAAGATGTATCTAAGTAAATACTTTCAGTTCGTTTTTATAACAAATATAAGTTTAAATTGTAAAATTTTAGTTAAAAAAGTCATTTTAGGAAGTAGAGATAACAGAGTGGAATAGAATGGAATAGATTGAAATAGATTTAAAACTGGTATTTAAGAAATTTTTATGGGCTAAATTAATAAAACATCTACATATTGATATCCAAGGCGCGCCAAAAGTGTGAAAGATCAAGAAATATAACCCCAGTATTTACACACAAAACTATAAACATATTTTATACTTAGTTAATATTTATGCATCAAGCGGGTTAAGCATATTTTTATTCATCGTGAAGAAGTCTAGCTCAAGAGCCCGCAGGACTAGTAGACAAGTTCTTCAAGTTAATAATCTGCTTAACTTGCGTGGTTGTCCACAATATTTTATTCAGTTTTGACGAAATAATACCTTAATGAATTAGAAATTTAATTTTGCAGAAATTGAATCTAACGAATCAAGTTTACGGCGGACACGATTTATTGTCGCAGAAACCTTTCAGTGAAAATTGTATACAAAGTGTATTCTATGAAAACTGCTAAAAAATTAATAAAAATTTGATAAGCAAGGCGTTAAGTCCTCGCATCTGTTTTTATTTTTCTGTGAGTGATTTAAAAACCTAAAACTGAATAAAAAATTTCGCAATTCACTGGTTAATAAACACTTATTTATTAGGGTTGCTAAGGATTTAATAAAGACAATTTACAACGTCAACATTTTATATGAAGTATAACTACCAACATTTAATAGTGCATTATAAAACGAGTGTAACATACAGTTACGAAATAAACCCCTACGCCGCCTCGGTACGACGCCTATGGGCCTCGAGAACTTTCTGATCTGTACGCCGATGATGACTCATCGTCAATGACAGCGATCGAGCGGCGGATCGCTAAAGAAAAGTCTGTCGCGGAAGTCGCGAACGGCAATCCAGAAAGATCCCGATTGCCTCACATCTAGAAGCAAGTGTGGGTTTAAATAAAGGCCACCTTCTGGAACGAGGATTATTCAGTCGAATCGAGTCCAACGAGTGTCGAGAAAACACAACGAGTTATTAAGAAATAAATTGTTGAGTTTAACCCACGCCGATTTTTATTCACCGATCAACGTAACAATATTATATTTTCCACTTTGCCTATTATCTTATTAAAACAAATGGAAAATCTAGTCACGATCATTACTTAGGGTTTTCACACATGATCTTGGTAGGCAGCATGTTGTCAAATGATATTCGACATGTCTGTAATTCAATTTCAAATAATTTAGTCATTTGTGAAATGACTTCGAAACGAACTAAGTTATGAATTTGAGAGATACTTGACTTATATGTGACGTTCCGGAAAAAAACCATGCTACCAACATTATAAAATAAACTGTTCCTAAAAATAGTGAACAAAGCAGAAAAAAGTTACAACTACTTTTTTTTTTTTTTTAATAATAATGAAAAAACTTTCAGAGTTTAAATAATATATTTGTAGTCACTGCTACACGTGTTTCGGTACACAGTACCGTCTTCAGGCAGTGTAGCAGTGACTACAAACATATTATTTAAACTCTGAAAGTTTTTTCATTATTATTAAAATTAATATGGAGTTTAAACACGTATCAGCCTCATCAATACAAACAACTACTTATTTTTACAATAGACGCTTTTCTGAAACTTTTTTTAGAAACAATTCATTTTGAAATGTTGGTTTCATGTATTCAAAGATGTCAGAACCCCACATACACATGAAGTGGCCCTCGGCAAATCCATAACCTGGTTCGTTTTATAGACCTTTCAGAAATGCTTAAAATATTTGAAATTAAATTTGAAACAAGTGTCTACCCAGATCATGTGCAAAAAAACCCTAAGTAATAATTGTGACCAGATTTTCATTTTTATTTAAGCTTGATGAGAAAAATGAACTAAATCTAGAAAATAAATATTATCTGTTTACGATGGGATATTACAATTCTAAATTAAGTTAACAAAAATGAATTATTAACATCTGCTAGATCATTTAAAATCATACTCCTGTTTATTAAAGTAATATATCTTAAGTCGTTAGAAATCATCAGCTAATTTGATAATTATGTTATGTTTTTTTTGACTATTATAAATAAGTTAATGCAAAGCAGATTAGACCAATTCGCCACCAGTCTCAAACATCGTCCAAAATTGTGGTTATTTGTTTCCGAAAATTCCGAAACTGCGAATTTTAAATTTTAAACCATCCATCGGCGACAACTAACGGTATTAATGCTAAATAAAAACGTCACTCATAAATAAACAGGTCTGAAATTATCACTTTCTTAATTAAATTATAAATTACATTTTATTGACGAAAAACTTGGCAGTTATTTCACTGTTGTAATTTTGGTAATTTACTGTTTCCGCATTCTCGCACATAATTTATACCTTTTAGAAGAAAATAATTAAAACCTCATAATTAAATAAAGGCTATCATTACTTTTTTACTGAGAATAAAAAATAAATAAGACTGGAATTATACGATGTGATTTTATTTTCTTAACGTTGATCAAAGAAACCCCAACCGGAGCTATATATAACTGTACGCAATTTCGAGTATGTTTTACATGCGCTGTGCGCCAATAACATCAAATAACACACTTAGAAAAATATAAACATACATCAAAATGATACTGTTGTACGTATTTCCGCTGCTTAAGTAGGAGGCGAAAGACGAGAATTTTATTGATCCAAAAGGAATAAAACAATTTGAACTGTGGACTCATATTCCGAATTAACGGATTAATTTATAACCTTGACTTTGCATGCCTTGCATAAACTCCCGACTTGTAAAATTTATCTTTATCTTTTAACATTCCTTCTCAATAATATGTTAATTGGTATTCTAAAGTATCAAAAGTGGCTTTTACATTCTGTTTACATACCCGCGCTATAATTAGATTTGTTTAAAGTCGTATACAGTTGGTCAAAAAAACATGCTCTTTAATCCGGAATTGTGCAACAAACTGTCTCGGATGAAATTGGTCAGTGAAGGAGATCGTTCCATTAAAACTGGTATAAAACGTAACAAATCGATGATAATTCAAGTTCCTGGGCCATTAGCTAATCCTAAAAAAGCCTCAGCATATCTAATTGCTTCACTAATGCGGCTTGTAGCCATTGTTGTGTACGTGAACCTCCAGTAATTAACGATAAAATATGAATGACGACAATCGTCTATTATTCGATATTGTGGTACATCCTTCTTCAAGCGATACCTGGGCTGCATGCTTGGTTTAGCAGTTAGCACAAACTGAAGACAAAAAGCGATCTATATATAATAAGTTTGCTATAGCTGATCAGCGTAAATGAACTCTAAATATTTAAATAAAAAGGAGTAAAAACCAACTTACAGTCTATTACAACTTGCATTAATTCTGTTACTTTTTTGTCACTTAGTTTACTTCTTTTATTTTACCAACCTTTCCTTGTAGTAGTAACGTAGTTATATTATATTACTTCATGTCTTTTTTAAACGTGACATACTTCTAATTAAGAAAAATGTTGTTGAGTTATCCTTGACTGACATCCCATGCCTCTATTTAGTCACAATAACTGTGAAATAAAGTTTAAATCATGACATGAAGATAACACAAACATGCGACTTCATATCTAAGGATGACCATAACATAATTATAAAATTGTGTTGACTACGCAATATATTTTTGTATGTCTATAAATTTATTATTTATAAATAAACTCACCATTGGGGTATGATCAAAATGTGCGAGTTGTAGTAATCACCATTGTCAAAACTTTTGGACAATTTTTGAAGACATGTTTCATTGATAATATTTTTTCAGTCATCTTTAGGTACATATAATATTAATGCTGAAACAAGTTTTCACTCTTTAGCTCTAAGTTCGTGTCCTGAAAATTTATAATGACCGCTTGTACGTCAATTTTATTCAGGTTTGTAATTAACAAAAAACCTAATAGAATTTGGGTTACTACAAATATAAATAAAATTTAACTGCTTCTCACCCGTACTACACTTATGCTATAAAGAACTTACTATCTGTTAAACAATTCTTCATTGACTGAAAAGTATTGACGTTGCTTTAACATTACAATAGCCTTACTTTAATGGACCAAGCAACTATTTTGCGCTTGTTAAACTATGGAAGATCGATTTTGTTGAAATTCCTATTATATAATAATTCGGTGGCGAGATCGAACCGACAAAATTGTGTAAAATACACAATCGTCAATCATTGACAAAAACATACATGATAACTCGACCGCAGTGGTAGACAATAGGTCCAAAAGTGTTGTCATTGCTATTACATCATTCGTAAAAACAGCAAGAAAGAGAAAGTCTGAACCGCAAGATGCAATGGAACGAACATTTGTCAATAATAATAAAATCGACGTCACACCTCAATACCCTCTTTACACTCCTATTTTCACTTAAATCGAAAAACAAAGCTCTTGCAGAAAAATCGTATAAATAGGGGATTATTGAACTCGAACAATCAGTCTCGATTTGGTCCTCCAGGTGTAGAGCGAGCTCAATAAAATGTTATCGTATCGGGGACTGTGTGTCCTGGGGTTGATAGTGACCATTGGAATATGTTTGACATCATCGCGAGAAATCTCCAGGCAAAAAAGGGATGTTGCCGTTGCCGATTTAGAAGCTGCGGCGTCCCACGGACACGGTCACCACTGGAAGAAAGGAGGAGGTAAAGAGCATCATGCTGATCATCATAGCGGCCACGGGGAAAAGGGCGATAAAGGATACAAAGGCCACCACCACCACGAAAAAGGACACAAGGGCCACCACGACAAGGAAGGCCACAACAAACACTACGAAGAACATGGGGGACACAAGAAGGGCCACCACCATAAGGACGGTTACCATGGTGAACACCACAAGGGAGAAAAGGGCGAGAAAGGCCACAAATACGGAGAAAAGGGTTCCTACAAAAAGGGACACAGCACCAAAGGAGGACACGACGTCCACAAAAAAGATGAGTACAAAAAGGAGAAACACTTCTACGATGAAGACCACGACTCCGGTCATCACGAGAAACACGGAGGGTACCACCATCACGATGGATACAAGAAGGGCGGTCACAAAAAAGGTGGACACAAAAAGGGAGGACATCATGAAGACCACTACGGTAAAAAGGGACATCACGAGCACGGATCCCATCATCATGAAGATAAAGGCCACAAACATGCCGGTGGACACGATGATCACTACCACCATGGTTCCAAATACGGGAAAAAGGGCGGACACGAGGGGCACAAAAAGTGGGGTTACAAAAAGGGACACAGTAGCGGTGGAGGTGGCGGCGGCGGCGGCCATGGGGGCGGCGGCCATGGAGGCGGCGGCCATGGATGGCATTAACGTTGTTATGTTTGTTGACAAAATACTGTTTTTGTTGCTTTTTGTTCAACTTATTAATATTAAATGAAAATAAAATTATTACGCTTAATGACTCACCCACCCTGTGCTATAACATGTACACGTCCTCAGATGGAGCGTCGAATGCTGGAATAGTAATATTGTGTTGTCAGAGTACTCAACGAGTACTTCCAAGAGATCCATCACAACGGAACAAAAAAGAAATGTCAACTGATGACAGTAATTTCTGAGCGAAGTTATGTATGCTTCTTTAAAATCACATAAATACTACAAGAGTTATTAAAGAAACAAATGGTTCAAGTTCAAGTTGAATTTGCCATATTTGCTACCGCACTGCTATTCGTTTAACTTTAATATCAACTCCGTTTACACAAAGATTGATGCGATTGTCATAAATAATGGTTGACGATTTAATGAATAAAGATTATGGTGATATTTTGCTTGCGATTATTAAAACCGACAGTTTATTTTTCAAAAGCCACAAAAATAACACTGTTCGGTTTTTCCCTAATCACATTCGACATCAAAAAACACCAATAAAGAATTCTATAAAAAGTATTGTACTATAGAAAGACTTCGTGTGTGGTTAACCGATAATAATTAATACATCATAAGCTCCATAGATATGCGGAAATTGAAGACGTCACCACAAAATTTTTTGTAATCCTAATAAACAAAAGTAAGATAATGGTTTATATTTCCCTTATGGATATCTAGCCAATTATGTTTTTATCTTGTAGTTATCTATTGCGGTTTAAAATCAATATATACAGTTTTGTATTTCATGAGTACGGCTTACAGGAAATTCAACAGACAAAAAAAGATTTTAAAAAACCATTCTGAACGCAGTAACTTTACAAATATTCCATTGTCCTTGGCTCCTTTAACAATACGGAATAAGAAGTCGAAAAGTTCATACCACTCAAAGATCAAGAAATTAAAATATACAAGGTCTCATACCCAACTGGATGTTCTTATCACTGCTTCATCAGTACTGCTTATTTCTAAAAAAATCATTTTTAGTTTGTAAAAGTACTATTACATATCACATTTTCACTAATTTACCATACTCGTGAATCATAGTAATAATTTTTATGCAACTAGTGCCCGAAATGATACTTTGCCGCACCAAGCTTAGATGCAATTGTTTATCATCCCCAGTGATTTTTCATTTTTACTTCCTGGGCGTAGACCAAGGCCCTTCCGACGAATCGCTACTTCCTCGACGTTTCATGACCCCTATAGTACGAAAAAGTAGGTCCCCGTTTCCGTTTGTCTGTCGTCTCTGGCAATTGTTATTAGAAAGATAATCTCCGAAACTACTGGATCGATTGTCGTTAAATTTTATATGTACGTTAGAAATATCATACAGATGGAAAACGCTAACCAAAAATTGTCTAATCATCCCGACCACGAAAAGGATGACGTTATCTCGAAAAATTACAATACTACATAACTTTATTTCAATTTTATGAAATAAAATACTCCTGTATTTGTAATTTATGAATCCGTGTTGAGTAGACATCTTTACTATAGACATACAGATTTTACAGTTCTCGTAAGTATGGTGAATCTGTAATCAAAATTTATTTGTTTACCCCTTCCTAAAAAATTTATAACGTCAACTCAAAATTTTGCTGAATAAATCCTATCTAAAGTATACAAAATAAGATGACTCATTACTTGTGGTTTATCAATAGATTCATAGTTTTACTTATGCAAAGTGATACAAAATTCCCCAGGATGTGAGTAAATAGTGCTGTAATTATTGGCATTAGACTGCACCTATTCAAATTAATATACGTGTCCTTGATAAAAATCACTTGAAATACCCGCATAGCAAGCTCCTTTACCTGTACTTTAATAGTCCACACATATTTTTATTAATTTAAAGGGTTTAGCATTAACAAATAAACAAGCCGTATTTGTTGGACTGTACTTTAGAAGCAATAGAAGTTCTGTCGAAATAATCTTCGACGAATTTTTTAGATCATACAAATCAACCTTTACAAAATTTTCTAATTTTTTTATATAAAACTATCCTCGTGAATAACGAAACAGAAATACACCTTGAACAATGAATAAAAATAAATTAAAAAAGAGAGTTATCGTTAGAAAATCTGTATTTTGACAAATATTACCATGAAAAGGTTACCTCTTTCATAATTCCACAATGTTTTTTATTTTTGTCAGAAAAAACGAATTTCTTTTAGAATACATCTCGTCAAAATACGACTTTTTTCAAAATGTTTTTGTTATATCTATATTTCAAACATGCTTTGTGATCACACATAAACAGAGGGTTCTCAACTAATGCTTAGGAGATTGTAACTATTTTTTTTTTCATATCCGTAATGAATCACTAAATATTCATAATCAGCTGAAACCGCAACCCATACTGAAGGACTTTACAATGAATTATTAGAGATGTTCTTAGTTAAAAATGTGAAGATGGTAATATGCTAACCAAAATTTACCTCGGCCACAAATTTATGACGCCACCTCAAAATTTTGATGAGTAAATCGCAATTTCTTTCAAATTTATAAGTTTGAACTTATTTTTTTTTTTTAAACAAGAGAGCAACTTATGTTTAAGAAAAACTGTTCTGTATAGAAAATAAATTTCGCCTACTCGACTATGACGTCAAAAATATACTTCTCTTAATATTCTACAATTTTGAAACTCGTGTGTTAAAAGGTCTACGTAGTACGGCTACTATATTTTTAAAATACCGGGCATTCATTCATCAACATTATAAAACATAACACTGTTTCATACTGAATTAAAAAAAGAAACTGTGTAAAAACCATAGAAATAATATTATATGGAAGTAACTTAGAGAGAGACGCGCGTTGTCAACACAGTGGGACAGAGATAGGGGTCTCTGGGTGGCAAAACATTGACGCGAAACTGCAGAGCAGTGTTTCTAGAGGTTTCTTTCGTGCTGTCGCATGGTGTTTGAAGGTGTATTTTTGCAAATTTACGTTTTTTAGGCTCAAGTTACCTTATTTAAATGCCTACAGTCTTCTTAAGTTGTATTTTATTGAACTGTTTGTTAAACATCGTGAAATCGTGTTGTGCGTATAATTGAATAGAACGTGCAAAGAAAGCAATCCTGTTTCATTTCATAGGTAATAATCACATACACAGACGAAGGATTTCGTAAATAATTTAAAAAAATTGTTAGATTCCGTAAACATTCCGAGTTACGAAAAAACGGATTATTGCTACAAAAAGAGGGAATTTTATATCTATTGATTATTTATTGTTTTAGTTATTTGTACGTGGATTTAGAAAATAGATTTTAGTAGAAAATTCCACACAATTTAATATGTTTAATTTAATTAGGCACCCTGTCACTTTTATCGAAAGGTTAATTACTTTTATCCTAAAAATTTCAGAATTACCAATGAACATACACTACAAGATTAGTTAACTTGTAGAAGATTATTGCACTAACTGAATTCGTAATATATTGTAGATTCTCTATACATTTCATTTTATTAAAAGACTATCTCCACCACTTAACATGATTTTTGTTGTTTCACATTACACATAATTTTAATGTAAACTGTAAAAATATAGTTTTCATTAACAGACGTTTGTTATAATTGATTATTTGAACAAATTCGTAAGAAAACGTATTAATTCCCGTTCAAATGAAGCGTTTCTTGCCACCCAGCACGTGATACGTGGTCAGCCGTCCTTTCCCCACTGATGCATAACCGGTCTAGCTATTTCTTTCTTATGTTGATTACACTCGCTCGCGTATGGAAAGGTATATAAGACTCCATCCACTCCTTTATTAGATCAATGGTAAAAACAGACGAACTGATTAAGTTCCAACTATCGTTAATACAGGATGTCTGGCCGGTTTAATGGTGGTAGATTATTCATGTCCTGTGTATTATTGCAAAAATATTTTGACTCATTTATGTCTACATTTTCGAATGATTTTTTTCATAATAGACAATCCAGTACACCAAAATTGGTTTGTCACTCCAGTGAACAAAAATGAATGACATCATCTCTAAATTGTCTGAACAATTTTTCTTTGTCTGCTTTTTAATAATGCGCGTATATTTTATATTTTATTTGTACAGATTATCCCAAAGCAATTTTGGTAAGATCTGATCTAACGACAAAAGAATCTTTACAGAAAAATTAAACGTTGCTGCTGTGTTTTGCTAGTGAATGTTTAAATTGCATATGCATGAAATTTAATAAAACTGGCATTACAACTGATTTATTTTATCGATTTTCAGTATGAGTGTTACATTGTACCTAGCAAAATTAGCCCATATATTATTTATCCACTCCAAAACAATGAACGTCATTAAAAAAAAATGTAGGTATATAAATCTTTACTAAAACGTACGCTCTGGTTTAGTACTAAGTTATTATTATTATTATTATTTTTTTATTTCTTAGATAGTGTGTTCCACAAAAATGAATCCATTTACTTAATCGATTTTCTTTTATTAGGTAGCTCGAACTTCTAGGAACACAGTAACAGTAAGTCCTATATTATTTACACCGTACGTATTAAGATATATTTATTCCTCCTCTGCAAATAGTTGATAGTGTAATTTCGTAATTTCAAAGAATCATTAAATGTACTTTATGGTTTCGAGCGATATTGGTTACGCATTAGAAATGAATCAAAGTGTAAACAACTTTCCAATTTTTTTAAATTTCCAATTCCTTACAACAAAAGGAATAAAATGGTCTTCTAATCAACAAATTTTAAATAATTAACAAGAAAAAAATAAAATAAGTGAATGTTTCTAAAAAGTCGTTGTGGTTAAAAATTCGCATACCTACATATCAACGTTGCTTTAACAAATGCTAAAATACTGAAAAATTATGGGATTTATATACAGTACCACTGATTGAAAACCTATAAACAAGCAAAATTATAGTCTTCAGTGGTCCAACTATCATGCAGTTTGCCCTTTTCCCTTTAATTTACGGATTTTTTAGCACTTTCAGTCAAATTTGAACTGTTACTAAATATTAATAATGAATGTGGTAGCCTTAATTTTTTATTTTTACAAAT